GACTTGCATCCTGAGAGTGACAACAAAAAGTATATTAACCTCTTCATGTCTGGGCCAACTTTTAATATTTTCACAGACATGTTAACATCAGCATTGTTTACTAGAAAATTCTTTAGAAGCTGCAAATATGTATTTTCTGAAAGTGGAGGCCCTGTAGAGTAAAATGGTGGCAAGTTCAATTTTTTTTTTACAAAATATTTGCGCAGGTGTTTATCAGTTGCATCATTCCATGAAAATACAATAAAATTAATGTTACTGCACACACACACAATAGAATACCCACTTTTTTTTGTAAAATATAAAATGCGTGGCTGCGTTGTGAGTAAACACATCAAGACTTCAAGATTTTAATAGGAGACATGTTACAAGTTATCATCATAGAGTTAACCGTGAATCAAAGCCCCAGAATTATCGCCCTCACTCCAACGTACGCAGCGATACGCATTCATATTCTCATGTATGACCGGGTCAATTTACATTTTTTTTTTTAATAATTTTATTCTATTTTTATTTTTTTTTTTTTTATGTTTTTTATTTTTTTTGCTCATTTAAACCCCATACCAAAAATGTTATATACTGCAGCTTAGCAATCCTTAGGTGTGGTGGCTGCATTAGTTGTACTTTTTAGGCTTTTTTTCCTTCCTCTGTTTTCACTGGTGATCTGGCCAATAACACACCTCCTTTGTTACAGTACCCCACTCTAGATGGTGCCCATAGGGGGCACATTTGGATAACAGCATTATCAGTCTGGGGGGAGGACAGTGTTAGCTGGACTAGCAAATTTAGATACACTAACACAGTGTTTCTCAACCTTTCATCAGCGAAGGCACCCTGTACAATTATGGACAATCTCAAGGCACCCTCTACAATTATGGACAGTAGCAAGGCACCCTCTACAATTATGGATAGTCTCAAGGCACCCTCTACAATTATGGATAGTCTCAAGGCACCCTCTACAATTATGGACAGTCTCCAGGCATCCTCTACAATTATGGACAGTTTCAAGGCACCCTCTACAATTATGGACAATCTCAAGGCACCCTCTACAATTATGGACAGTAGCAAGGCACCCTCTACAATTATGGACAGTCTCAAGGCACCTTCTACAATTATGGACAGTTTCAAGGCACCCTCTACAATTATAGACATTCTCAAGGCACCCTCTACAATTATGGACATTCTCAAGGCACCCTCTACAATTATGGACAGTCTCAAAGCACCCTGTACAATTATGGACAGTCTCAAGGCACCCTATACAATTATGGACAGTCTCAAAGCACCCTCTACAATTATGGACAGCCTCAAGGCACCCTCTACAATTATAGATAGTCTCAAGGCACCCTCTACAATTATGGACATTCTCAAGGCACCCTCTACAATTATGGACAGTCTCAGGTCACCCTCTACAATTATGGACAATCTCAAGGCACCCTCTACAATTATGGACAGTAGCAAGGCACCCTCTACAAATATGGACAGTCTCAAGGCACCTTCTACAATTATGGACATTCTCAAGGCACCCTCTACAATTATGGACAGTCTAAAGGCACCCTCTACAATTATGGACAGTCTCAAGGCACCTTCTACAATTATGGACAGTTTCAAGGCACCCTCTACAATTATAGACATTCTCAAGGCACCCTCTACAATTATGGACATTCTCAAGGCACCCTCTACAATTATGGACAGTTTCAAAGCACCCTGTACAATTATGGACAATCTCATGGTACCCTCTACAATTATAGACAGTCTCAAGGCACCCTCTACAATTATGGACAGTCTCAGGGTACCCTCTACAATTATGGACAATCTCAAGGCACCCTCTACAGTTATGGACAGCCTCGAGACACCCCATTCTAAAATGTAAAAACCCTATTCTAATAGTTTTATACAATGGAGCAACATCCACACATGTAGGGCACCCAACGTTAGAGGTGATTTATTGTTCCACATCAAATATACTTTTGCGCACAGGTACTGACGAGCATTCCAATGTTTCTCTTCTCCCGCACTCTCCATCACTCAGCACTCAGCTCAACTGACAGAGACAGGCGGGGGGGGGGGGGATCAAACAAGGATACTGTGCAGACTACCAACATCCTCCTGATCAACTGATGACATCATTGGTTGTTGGGATACCAGCGGCTGGAACGCTGTGATTGTGCACAATGTAAACCTGTGGCTCTGTGTAACTAAAAGGCAGGCTTGTTCCACCCGCTAGCTTGTATACAAGTTTTGGGCAATTTTTAGGCATTTTGCCAAGGCACCCCTGAAGAAACCTCAAGGTAACCCAGGGTGCCTGGGCACTCTGGTTGAAAAAGGATGTACTAACAAATGGAAGCCAAACTCCAGCTAATACTTTATAACCAGCTACAATAGCAATTTTGTTTCCTTTGAAGATAAATATTTTACTTAAATAAAAGCTTAATATTGTAAGCACTCCTGAAAGTATTGAATGGTTTGTCTAACCCCTGTAACTTACTGGTTGGATCACCAGATGAAAATGGTAGAAAGAAAACCTTAGAAAGAAAACAAGCAGCCATCCTATTTGTCACACCTTGAATGACAATTGTGCGATCATGCAACACTGTACCCAAATGAAATTTGTATAATTTTTTGAGACAGAGCTTTATTTTGATGGTATTTAATCCCCAATGGGTTTTTTATTTTTTGCGAGACAAATGAAAAAAGACAAAACATTTTGAAAATAAAAAAAGTTTTTCTTAGTTTTTGTACTAAAGTTTTGCAAACAGGTAATTTTTCTCTTTTACTGATGGGGCACTGATAGGCAGCACTAATGGGAACTGATAGGAGGCACTGATGAGGCTGCACTGATATGCATCCCTGATAGGTGGTACTGACTGTTGGCACTGATAGACACTGACTGGCAGCACTGAAGGAGTTGCAATGATAATCAGGACACTGATAATCACAGAGTGCACTGCAGCGGTTGCACGGGTGGGCACGGTTCTGGAAGGACATCACATGATGCCCTCCCAGAACTGGACCACCATACTGTAGCCATCATTCAGCTATAGCGTGGTTAGCAAGTGGTTAACTTTAACTTTTCCTTAAAAACATGGGACCAATCTCCTGACCGGGGTATCATTTGGATGGAGGTTTGTAGGATAAAACTGATGTCATCTTCCTACTGACAGTGATCCGTATTTTGATTTGTAGCTCTTGAAACCAGGTAAAACATTATTGAAAGAAAAAAATGCATGACATAAAGCTTTAAACAGGTCATACTAGCAAATGTATTCTTTGTTTTCAGTATCAGCCATGAGTCATCTGTCATGGCTGATAAACCGGCCACTATAGCGGAGCCACCGACCAGCCAGCAACAACAACAGCTGAGCAAAGAGCAGGTTTTCCGTTGGTTGGATGAGGACAAATTTATCAAGGTTACCAGAATGTTTGAAGAGTACACTGACAAGTATATGTTTGTTAAATCCACTGAGACTCCCTCTTTCCGGGGAAAGGTTTTCATACACATTGCATGCTTTAGCAATATGAATGTATAGAAACCTAGCAAATGGTTTACCCATTTTACTTGATTAAATGGGTCCAGATATATTTTATTATACATACACAGTATCTCACAGAAGTGAGTACACCCCTCACATTTTTGTAAATATTTTATTACATCTTTTCATGTGACAGCACTGAAGAAATGACACTTTGTTACAATGTGATGTAGTGAGTGTACAGCTTGTATAACAGTGTAAATTTGCTGTCCCCTCAAAATAGCTCAACACACAGCCATTAATGTCTAAACCGCTGGCAACAAAAGTGAGTACACCCCTAAGTGAAAATGTCCAAATTGGGCCCAAAGTGTCAATATTTTGTGTGCCCACATTATTTTCCACCATTTGCCTTAACCCTCTTGGGCATGGAGTTCACAAGAGCTTCACAGGTTGCCACTGGAGTCCTCTTCCACTCCTCCATGACAACATCACGGAGCTGGTAGATGTTAGAGACCTTGCGCTCCTCTGCCTTCTGTTTGAGGATGCCCCACAGATGTTCAATAGGGTTTAGGTCTGGAGACATGCTTGGCTAGTCCATCACCTTTACCCTCAGCTTCTTTTGCAAGGCATTGGTTTTCTTGGAGGTGTGTTTGGGGTCGTTGTCATGTTGGAATACTGCCCTGCGGCCCAGTCTCTGAAGGGAGGGGATCATGCTCTGCTTCAGTATGTCACAGCACACGTTGGCATTCATGGTTCCCTCAATGAACTGTAGCTCCCCAGTGCCGGCAGCACTCATGCAGCCCCAGACCATGACACTCCCACCACCATGCTTGACTGTAGGCAAGACACACTTGTCTTTGTACTCCTCACCTGGTTGCCACCACACACGCTTGACACCATCTGAACCAAATAAGTTTATCTTGGTCTCATCAGACCACAGGGCATGGTTCCAGTAATCCATGTCCTTAGTCTGCAGCCTACATCAGAAAGTTCTCAATGGGATCTGGACTTAAGGAGGATTGGACCAGAAAGTACATTTTCATTATTACTTCTCAATCTAGTCTGTTTCTTTTCTATTGGGTTCAGAATCAAATCAGTTATAAATGGATGGTGCTGCCTGGTCTGAACATCCTATAAAGTCTATTGCCAGTTTTACCTGTCTGTTCGTTATGCTTATATGTGTTACTTCTTTATCTTTCAGAATCTTGGAGTTTGCCAATTGGAAATACATTCATGCAAGATGGGACTTTGCGTATATAAAGGTAAGAGTAATCTAATAGAACTAGATTTGAATTTTCCACAACACTTATCACCCAGTAAGGGTTTCCACACAAGCAGTGTTGCCCAACACAGTCTAAATTCAAGTATGAGGAAAATATCCTTGTTTCATATTGTTTCCAGTTCACACTAATGCTCTCTGTTGGTTTGCACTGAAAAAATAGGACATGTTACATTTTTTCTTCAGTGTATAGCAATAGCATATATTTAAAAAAAAGAGAAATGGGTAAAAAAATGCACTGGGACACTTGTAAAAAATGCATTGCAGTGCAACTTAAAAACATGCCAGCATGCACCATGACATCCATAAATTACACTTTTTTTAAATATTATACAGGCACACCAGGACATCCCTGTTGATGCCTTAGCATTCCTTAGCTTCAAAGGAGCATTAAAGTTTCATACCCTGTTAAAGAGAGACTTTTGAAAGAAACTGCCAAGCTTGTTACCCTGCTCTGCAGAGATTTTTTTAATAGAAACCTCTAAGCTTGTTACCCTCCACTGCAGAAATTTTTTATAGCAACTGCCAAGCATTTTACACTGCACTGCAGATATTTTTTATAGAAACCATCAAGCTTGTTGCCCTGCTCCGTGGATATTTTTTATACAAACCGCCGAGCCTGTTGCTCTGCTCCACAGAAAGTTTTTATAGAAACCGCCAAGCTTGTTGCCCTGCTCCTCAGAGAGTTTTTATGCAAACTGCCAATGTTGTTACTCTGCTCCACAGAGACTTTTTTATAGCAATCGCCAAGCTTGCTACCCTGGTCCACAGAGATTTTTTTTTATAAAAACCGCCAAGCTTGTTAGCCTGCTTCGCAGAGCTTTTTACAGAATCTGCCAAGCTTGCTGCCCTGCTCCACTGAAATTTTTTATAGCAACCGCCAACTTGTTACCCTGCTCCGCAGAGATTTTTTTATAGAAACCGCCAAGCTTGTTACTCTGCTCTGCAGAGATTTGTTTTATAGAAACCTTTAAGCTTGTTACCCTGCACTGCAGAGATTTTTTATAGCAACTGCCAAGCATTTTACCTTGCACTGCAGATATTTTTTATAGTAACCATGAAGCTTGTTACCCTGCTCCGCAGAGATTTTTTTTTTAGAACTCACCAAGCTTGTTTCCCTGCTTCACAGAGATTTTTTATACAAACCGCCAAGCCTGTTGCTCTGCTCCGCAGAAATTTTTTATAGAAACCGCCAAGCTTGTTACCCTGGTCCACACATTTTTTTACAGAAACTGCCAAGCTTGTTACCCTGCTCCGCAGAGCTTTTTATAGAAATTGCCAAGCTTGCTGCCCTGCTCCGCAGAAGTGTTTTATAGAAACCGCCAACTTGTTACCCTGCTGTGCATATATTTTTTATAGAAACCGCTAAGCTTGTTACTCTGCTACACAGAGATTTTTTTTTATAGAATCCGCTAGCTTGTTATCCTGCTCCACAGAGACTTTTGATAGCAACCTCCAAGATTGTTACACTGCTCTGCAGAAACTATTTTTATAGAAATCGCCAAGCTTGTTACCCTGGTCCACGGAGACTTTTTCTATAAAAACTGCCAAGCTTGTTACCCTGCTCTGCAGAGCTTTTTATAGAAACTGCCAAGCTTGCTGTTCTGCTCCGCAGAGATTTTTTATAGAAACCGCCAACTTGTTACCCTGCTGTGCAGAGATTTTTTTTATAGAAACTGCCAAGCCTGTTGCCCTGCTCTGCAGAGATTTTTTAAGAAACCTTCAAGCTTGTTACTCTGCTCCACAGAGATTTTTTTGTAAAAACCGCCAACTTGCTACCCTGCTCCAGAGAGACTTTTTATCGCAACCGCCAAGCCTGTTATCCTGCTCTACAGAGACTTTTGATAGCAACCTCCAAAATTGTTTCCCTGCTCCACAGAGACTTTTGATAGAGACTGACAAGCTTATTGTACCCTGTTCTACAGAGAAGCCACCAAGCAATCCAAATATATATAAACCAACACATCTGGCCCAAATTCTCTGTTCTGCAAGCAACAACACATTCTATTAAATATCCCTCTTTTTATGCAAAGTTTGAAAGAAATGTATAAAGGTGTATAGCAGTGTGCAGAGCAGGGGCGGACTGACCATTTGGAAGCTCAGGCACTGCCCAGGGTCAGTAGAGGGCCCCATGAGATGCCCCTGGTACCTTTTTCAAAGGCTTTTTTGAGTTTGGGCAAGGACACAGGGACCCCATGATCCCCTATTGCCCGGGGGCCCCATGAGTTGTCAGTCTGCCCCTGGTGCAGAGCGTTGATGCACGTGGTGAGTTATGCGTACAGTATGTGTAAAGCTATTTGGATTTGAGCGCAGACATATTTCTATTTTGGTTCTACAGAGAAGTTAGTTTGATAGAAACCACAAAGCTTATGTACCCTGTTCTACAAAAAATGTATATTATTCTAATAAATGGTTATACATAAATTTGACCATTTATTAGAATGGGGATGTGAGAAAAAAAAACAGGACAGCTTTGTTATTTCACGTGTCAAACACACATGACCAACTCTCCTCTAAAACTTGTGGTGTGCAGCTGTATGTGAATAGTGCCAGCCACTGTCAGCCTGTCATTAGTTTATAGAGGTTGATAGGCCACTGTTATTTGCATGACCCAGTCATTCCACTGGCAAGAATATGCCACTATAATTTGCAGAATTCAGAAAAAACAGCCATGTGAAGGAGACCTTAAACTTCACTGATCTGGTATTACGCCAAGTACTCCTCACTTTAGTGGTATTATATTTATAACATAAATGCACTGCACTTGTTGGCGGGGCCTCTGGACTTGTAGCCGGGGCCCAGGGTACACAGACAGGGAGAGACCACACACACAATTCTTGATGTTATAATTTATCTTGTATACAGGTTAACGATAATGAATAATCATAGGGTTTTTTTAGGCACTGATATAGAGCACTATAGCATACCTCCCAACCTTCTGTGATGGGAACGAGGGACATCTTATTATCAAAAGAATGTAGGCTAAGAACACACCCCCTGCCATGCCCCCTTAACCACTTCCCGTCCGGCTCATCTACATAAACAGCCGGACAGGAGCAGTGCAGGAGCGGGTGGCCGTTTATAAACAGCCTCCGCATTCCCTGCCTGTGCGCGCTCCCTGGGAGCATGCAGCACAGCGATCCAATCGCTGTACGGGACCTCTGTGTGAGGTCCCGATCATGTGATCACTGATTGGCCTATCAGTGATCACATGAATAGTAGTAAGCAAGATGTCACTAGCTGACATCATTGCTTACTACTAGTGAAATCTGTGAATGATCACAGAGGTCACATGGTACAAGGCTACTCACAACAGCCTTGTACCATGTGACAAACTGTGACCAATCTCAGCTCTCACAGTATTTCTGAATGGCTGCAAGAATGCAGCCAGAGAAAAGGAGAAATTATTGCTTTTACAGCCTTTATAGATGTAAAAGCAATCAGTGTAAAAAAAAAAACAACAAAAAAAAACATCACCCCCCACAAGTAGTACAGTGTCATTATGGTGACACTGTGCTGCTAGGGTGACAATATGTTAAAAAAACATAAATAATAATATAAAAAAAATAAAATAAAAATGTAAAAAAAGTTTTAAAAATTATAATTTTTGGTTATAAACTAATTTGTGTTATTTGTTTTTTACTAAAAAGATAACTGAATACATTTTGGCCAATATTTATGAAGAAAGATTATTTAGAAAAACACTTTTTTTTCAAAAATGTTCGGACTTTTTCATTTATATAGCAAAAAAAAAAAATCCCAGTGGTGAATAAATACCACCAAAATAAAGTTTTATCTCTCTCAAAAAAATGCTAAAAAATTTAATATCGGTACAGTGTTGCATGACCGCGCAAGTGTCATTCACAGTGTGATAGCACTGAAAGCTGAAAATTGGCTGGACAGGAAGGGGGTGAAAGTGTCCGGACTTGAAGTAGTTAAAGGAGAATTATTAAAAAAAATATTATTTAAACCCATAAGTTATTTTTTTTACCACTATTATTCCTTTATATTGATTTTTGAAATTTACAGGTGCAGTAATTTAAAAGCTGGATGAATGGTTTAGCCTGGGATACACTTTTTGAAAGATAAAAAGTGCATTTTCTATACAACTCTATGACTCAGACCAAAATGAGGGGTAAATGAGGTGGAAATATGGACAGAGGGATTTTGTTCTAAATCAGGGACAGTCCCTCAAAATCAGGGACAGTTGGAAGCAAAATGAATATAGCCCTAACAAAAACAATCCCTAAGACTGGATACTTACATTCCTGCCTTGGAAAGGGCCCCACACCAATTCCACACCAAATTTTTACATTCTTACATTGCAAGGTTTTGATGCCAGGACATTTGCCTGGAATGCTACATGTACTGGCCCTTTCACTTGTGATTATCTCCAAGGGTACACCTAGTCCTTTCTGATCCTATCTTCTCTCCAGAGTCAAACCACTCCCCACTCTATCCAAAAAAAGGACAACATTTTGAGTTGTTTTTTGTTGACTGCTAACATTTAATCTGAATGTAGTTCTCCTCTAAAAGTTTTTATTTTTTACATTTCATTTGTACTACATTGCTTCAAACATTCAAAGAAAAAGACAAACTTGGCTAAAATAAAATGCCCCTTGGATCCCTCCTACCCTATCACAGTCAGTTTTTAATGTCAGGCAAAAAAATGCATTATTCCACAGCTACAAGAAAGTTGCATGAGAAAGACATCGAAGGCTTCTGTATCAGCTGGAGATCAGACATTCATCAAACAGAGGAGCTCAGGCTGTCTGTAGATATGTTCAGGCTCCCTCACTGATCTCACTCACTCAGCAGCCAAAAGGCTTTCATATTCACAGTATCTACCAGCAGCATAAAGTCCTTTCTTTCCCTCACAGTAGTCTGACTGATTGCATTAGCCCCTATTTGTGACTTGAAGCATGGCTTTTCACAACTTTCTCGGAAAGCCTGTTTTTTCACTGGATAAATTTGATTCATTTAGCTCAGCGTCTTGGGCTGATTTCATTTGGCAAGGACAAGGAAAATTGCGTTAACACCAAGTATGGCAGTAGTTTTTATATCGCAAGCTGCAGAAATAATCTATTAGGAAAGGAAAGAAAAGGTTAATGGTAGTTTTTTGGAATTTGTGAGTAAAATTCTTTCCTTCTACTGTGTGCATTTTTGTTCTAACAAAATAGCCTGAATTAGAATTAAAATGATCCATCGAGACCTTGGAAGTACCACATTTGTTTTACACAATATTATTTGGTACCAAGCAGGGGTGGGTGTATCCAGGGGCAGACTGACAACTCATGGGGCCCCCGGCAATAGGGGATCATGGGGCCCATGTGTCCTTGCCCAAACTCAAAAAAGCCTATGAAAAAGGTACCAGGGGCATCTCATGGGGCCCCCTACTGACCCCGGGCCCTCGGGCAGTGCCCGAGTTCCAAATGGTCAGTCCACCCCTGGTACCAAGTCTGTCAATAATCACTGATTTGTGGCCCCAAGAATCAGGTGCCAGATAGTTAATGGTCTAAGGGTCTGGGTGCTAAAAACAAGGGCACATAAAATTGACTTTATGTATAGAGGGACCCGAAACCTTAACTTGACTCTGAACGTGGAAAAAAAAAGCTTAAGTGCTAGTTCACACCAGAACTCTGCATTCTGTGCATGTTTCCTGCACCATGTCCAAACACACTGGGTGTGGTATCTGCTGCTGGTGTCAATAGATTCCTAATGACACCCCAAACACAGATTGCAAACACAGTGCGTTTGCCTGCACCAGATCTCATGGTACCGGAGTACCGTGTGATTCATTTGCAGTGCATTTGCATTTGCTTGCAGTGCATGCACTGCTTTTGGTGTGGTTCAGTGCAATTTCAGCCCATTTAAATAGATGTGCTGAAAATTGCACTGCACTGAATCGTACAGGAACATAGAGTATGTTGCTGTGTAATTCTTGGTGTGAACTGGCACTTAGTCTAACCATTCTTTAAAATGTTCCCTGCCCTTCTCCTACCTATCCTGAAAACCTGCAGGGGAGGAGGGAGCGCCATGGTTTACTGGGCCCTTTTTTTTTGTGGTAACGCGGGTAAACTCAGTTCCGGCACCTCCGGTACTGAATATATGTAATGGCAAGGGTGCTGGGGTGTGCTGGAAGGTATAATGATTCTGGCTGCTGGGGGATGTATTGTCACTGGAGGGGATCTATTGTTGCCGGGTAGGTCTATTGTTTCTGGTGGTGGCTCTATTGTTACTGGGGGGTCAATTGTTTCCGGAAGGGGAGCCCATTGCTGCTGGCTGCAAGGGATATATTTTACTGCTTTTCATGTTATTATTAACAAATTCCATACAAATTGCTTAGCACCACAAAATGATACTTGGTTCTATATTCTCTAAAAGGAGCAGTACTGGGAGGTGGTGGGGGGAGTGGAACCACGGGACGGTGCTCGGAGTTGTATAGAGGGGCGTAGACAAGAAGTGATTTAGAAGGGGGAAGTTTCTGCACCTATTTTTTGGTGCTGCTGTCCTCACCACGGCTGGTTTCACTGGCTGTCTGTCTTCTCTCCCCAGCGCCGTCCTCTTCAGTGTGGGCACCCGGCTGTGACAGCTTGTGGCTTCACATCCGGGTGCCCACTGCGCATGCGCGAGTAGAACTGCACTTTGTGAATGGTCCCGTACCTGTCACATGTCCCAGAAGACTACAGGGAGGGAGGGGGGAGGACAACTTCCGCTTTTGATCGCCTTAGGCAATCGCAGTGGAAGTGGGAGCGGGTAACCACCCCTACAGCCCCCCCCCCGTTCATCAAAGTGCCAATCCTCAACGGGGAGTAGGTGGACAAAGGCTTAAAGCAGAAATCCCCCTTTTGGGTGGACCTCCACTTTTATCAATCTAAAGTACATAAGTGTTAAAAATACATGTATTGTATCCATTTTTAATGGATACATAACTGCATTAATTGATATTATTTTATTTGTATCCAGAGTTTAGCATTAATATACCAGGTTTATCTTGTTTTTACAAACAATGGCTGGCCCTGGATGGGGGGGTAGGCTAGCCTTCTTCTGTGCTGTACACAGCTTATACAGCAGTACATATTTACTGCACATAACATTTATTTAGCTATTTTTTAAAGTCCTTACTTTAGCAGAAATGATGTTACAGATTTCAGTGCATTTCTTTGTAAGACAAAACAGTATTGACTGTGACTATCCCGCAGGAGGATAAAATTGCTGAAGCATTACAGATGATAAGATCAGCATTTTTTCCTCTGCAAAAGCCTGCTATTTCAGACATGTAGCTGGTACTACATTATTTTGGGTCACTGAGCATGGGTGTCTTAATGTCTTTTATAATAGATGCCATCAGCTACACAGCTTTACTCCCAAGAGCCCTTGTCTGGTTATGCTATGATGTTGGTGCAGCCATAGTGTGGTCACATTATCATGCTATAGTCATATTTCTCAAAGACGGACGTGACGTCAATGTGCATAGCACAGTTGCGCATGCGCAGTTGTGGAGAATGCCAGGGATCACATGATTGGCGCCACCAGGGGCGGACTGACCATTTGGAAACTCAGGCACTGCCCGAGGGCCCGGGGTCAGTAGGGGGCCCCATGAGATGCCCCTGGTACCTTTTTCATAGGCTTTTTTTAGTTTGGGCAAGGACACATGGGCCCCATGATCCCCTATTGCCCGGGGGTCCCATGAGTTGTCAGTCCGCCCCTGGGCACCACCTTCCTCAATTTACATCTAGCGGACTTGCTCCACTTTTGGGAGGAAATACAAACACCACATCCACTGTCGATCCTATGAAAGACCATAATTTGAGTAGCCAGGCAAGGTTACTAGAATCTAGCTGAATGATTCATTCCATACATTTGGATTTTTTGGAAGAACGCTATTCCATTTTCTTGCAATCATTGGTGAGTTGAAAAAGGCATGGGCAATGAATTGTTGATATTCATGCATACTTTCTGAACTTCAGTAGTTAATTGTACAATATTTGAGCCTTTACATTTTACTGTTTTTGGTTTCAATAGTTTTGATGCTTCCCTATGTAGTACTAATTGATGGGAGACAATAAATATAATTGGAATGTAGGCCCCCAAGCACGAACATTCAATAAAGGGGTGCATATATTGATATGATCATTTCATGATCTATATATATATATATATATATATATATATATATATATATATATATATTTATATACAATGCCCCACCAATATTCAACAAAGGGATGTGTGTAGTTATGAGATTTATTCCTTTTAATTTACACATACCATTGGTTTATATTGATGCTGTTCCCCTGTATCTCTAGCTTCTTACTATCTATTAGTACATATTTTTTTACTTCTATATGTACACTTTATTATGGCAGTGATTGTGGTGTGGCACATCTGATCTTTGCACGTGAAAATGATGGCCTCATTGGAAGGGATTCATCTCCTGACACAGACACCTCTCTCTGAATATCTCTGTGGTGTCAAGGTCCTACCTTTTCCCTGAGGTTATGTTACTAAGCGTCCATCTTGGATTCTTTGCATGATGGGAATCCTTTTATGCCTTCAGGTCTCTTTGGTCCATCCCCCAGAGGGGTGTGGCTGATGACATATAAGCCTGTGGCCCGCACATGCTCTTTGCACTTGTGTCTTTGTGTTGCTATTACTCTGTTCTGACTCTCGTGACTCTCCTGGTATCTGATTCGGCTTGTGACTTGGCTATTCTTTGTATTCTCCCTTGATCTGACCCTCTGTTGCTGAACCCGGCTCGTGACCTGTGATTCTCGTCTGCTGTCCTGACTGTTTTGTCCTGTTGTTGTTGACCCGGCTTTCTGACTACTCTTTTGTCTCTTCCACCAGCTACACGCCATTGGCGGCGGCCATTACCGCAGCTGAGGTGTCTCGGGGGCCGCGACCTGGTTCCTGGCTGCGTCAAGTCCAATTTCCCCACCATCAGGGGCCCTGGTGAAGGGCAGCCTGGGACTTAGACTCCGCGCCCTGAGGGACTTCGGTCTGTGGGTAGTGGTTGTCGTCAGCCAGTGCGTTACATTGTTAGGCCTGCCTGTCCGTTCCTCGGCCCCTGCCCTGACATGTGGTTATGTAAGTTTTATACCTCATATGGTTTGGTTCAGTACTAACTAGTTATGATAATGTTTGCTAAATTTATTATTAATTACTATTATAGAGTGGTATCATATCCCTGAAGAAGAATTTGTGTTAAGCATTTGAAACGTGTTGGATCCCAGGCTGAAAATATCTGCAAACAAATTTTGAGGTTGCAAGATGGAAATCAGCTATGAGGGATACCACCAGATGTATATTGGAACGTACCACAATTTGTGAATCTAATGAGTAGTCTGAACAGGTTGTGCAATACATTTGGCAATATGTAATGACCATTTTGTATGTGCTGATAAGCAAATCTAAAATCTTTAATGACATATTGGATGTATAAATAAATCGTTGATTTTCTTTTTTTTAAAAAAGTGGTTTCTCTTGTGCAATTTAAGGTTGCCTTAAAAATGCCATCAAACACAAGATAATTTTTTGTACTGTAGTCATATTCCTCAGTATTTCTGCAGATTGTACCTGTCAGCATGGAGGCTACCTGTAATTCTATGAGCCTATTCTTCTAATATCCAAAGGTACGGGTCTTTCCAATTCTGAGCCCTCAAAAAAATAAAAAATAAAATGCCCCCCCCCCAATGTAATGCTATTCTTCATTATCAAGAAGCAGTGAAAGACACAACTAACTGTGCCCCCATTGGATTGCTTACTGGCCTCACCTGTTCATTACCATGCCATTTTTTTTTTTCACTTTTCAGCACTGTGACAGTTTGACGGACAACTACTTTGTATGCAAATGAGTTTTATATCTTTTTTTGAGACAACTAGAGCTTTCTTGTGGTGGTATTTACTAACTGCCGTTTTCTTTATAAAAAGGAAAATGATCAACATTTCTGAAAAAAAAAATGTTTTCCTTACTTTCTGTTAAAATGAAAAAGGAAGAATAGTATGAAAACCTTGAAAATTACCCTTTTTTTGAAAAGAAGACAACCCAAGGTGATATAATTTTTAGAAAAAATTTAAAAAATGACAGCATTATCACCCTAAAGTATAGCAGTGCTTATGCAGGCTGCAGTGGGAGTAGAGCTGGTGTTCTTTTATCTGCGGAGATTGAAAGGTTTTTTTCTGGGGTTTTTTTTTAGAGCTGGTGTTATATGCTATTATTAGCCTACCTCTGGTGAATTGTTAGACCTCATGTGGTTGAGATCAGTTTTGTGGAAGCCTGCATAATAAGATTGATGGACTACATTATCATACCACTTTTTTATACAAGTTCACACTTTTTTGAACAGGACACTTTAAATTATTGGACACAAGCACTGATATATAGTATATGTACAAGTTTATTTTTACACTTGTGTATGAGGCATTTGATGGTTGCATTTTTTTGCAGTGGCCACATTATTTTATTTTTTTGTACTTTTGAAGATTGCATCTATGCACTGGACACTTTAAATGTGTTTATTTATTTTACTGGACACTTTGTAATATGATAACAATCTGTGATGTAATAGTGATTAAAGCAGAGCCCCAGTCAAAATGTAAAAAAATAAAGCGCAAAAACTGTAACTGCTGACTTTTAAAAAACAGCCACTCACCTGTCCCTTGATCCACTGGTGTCCTCACCACAGTCGGTTTCACCGCCTGTCCTCTCTCCCCGGCACTGCATCTTAAGTGAGGGTACCCAGCTGTGACAGGTTGCAGCTTCACAGCTGGGTGCCCACTGCGCATGCATGAGTTGTGCTGTGCCCTGTGAATGGTCCCATAGTCTTCTGGGACCTGTCAACATGTCCCAGAAGACTACGGGTAGGGAGGAAAGAGGACAACTTCTGCTTCTGATCGCCTAGGCGATCACAGCGGAAGTGGGAGTGGGTACCTGTCAAAATCAGGTGCCCTCTCCCCCCCTGACCAATCATACCTAACCCCTTGGATCAGCTGAGTATAGTGTGTATGTGTACTCAGCTGTCAAATGAAGATGCTTTCTAAGTCAGAGGAAAAACAATCTGCTATTTACAGTATCTGTTTATAAATGATGTGTTTCTTAATAGACGTACAGTGGTACAAACATGATTAAAGTGAAACTGTGCTTATATACATGTTAAAGCAGTACCAAACCCTTCTATCTTTTAAAGTAATAAAAAAAAAAGTGCATTTCTCTTCCTGCTAGATGGCCTTGGATGTTTAAAAATGAACAATTTTTTTTCTGCTAACTTAGAAAACATTTTCATGCTGTGACTCCCCCTTCCTCAATGGATAAATATATATTGTAAGTGGTCTATGTGACAGACCCAAATGGGATAGGGTCTTTTGGAGTAGACTGCAAGAGGGCCACCATATTTCCTCTGACCATTAACCTGAACAAGATTAATATTACACCTTTCCATCCACTCCAAAAAATCTTTATTGTCTTTATTCAGAGAACTAATCCAAGCCTCGCTCTCAGCATTTTATCATGTTGTTGTCCATCATTAGAGAATGAAATGCTACCTCCATGGGATCAGAGGCTGAAGTGAGCTCTTTTCCATGCTCTAACCTGGAGCAGCAGACAAAATCCCCGGTCTCTTCCATGGGCCATAATCAGTGGGTAGAAGGCTAGCCCACAGTCCTCCAAAAGCCCCAGTCCCGGTTGGGTCTGTCACAGTCCATATAGTCAACTTGGTGTAGAGTTATTCACTTTGAGGTCATTACAATGGACAATGGGGTTTTCTTTAGGTCTGGAGGAAAGTAGATTTAACCTTCTTATATGGAAAGGCTACCTTACAGTAAGAGATGTAAAAATGTGGCTTTGGCCAGATCCGTTCATTGTTTTTGAAAGAGCAGAGATGAATTCCTAAAGGCACAAAATATAACTGAATATTAAAATGTATAGGTAATAATACCATCTATTGTTTTCATCCATAAATATTCAACTGCCTTCTGCCCACTGAAGCAAATTGAATCATGCTTTATTGGGTTTTTTTGCCTTCCTCTGGATTAACTGTGGATACAGCATTCGGTATATGAATGTTTTCTATTTAATCTACATACTCATTTTTTTTTTATTGGTTAAATTATATGGACTTATGTCTTTTTTCAACCTGACTAATTATGTAGCTATATACCTTCCTGTAAGGTCACTGGGACAAAAAGTAACAAAGACAGCAATACAAATCTGACAGACATGTTAATCCTTCTCCAGACTTCCAACACAAAGAAAGTTTTGGCGTATTACCTTGATTTACCAATACCATAAAAGAATGAGAATATATTTCTTTAAAGCTGTTTATAGCAACACAAAGAGTCATGTACTGCGGAGTGGTTCTTTAACACTGATAAGAATCCTGCATAATAAACGGAATCAGTTTTCAAGTCCTAGCAGTTTGATTTTCATGCCCTAATCCCTTTCATGCTGGTTGCTTTTACGTTATTTCCTGAAAAACCTGTGATAAGCATCTATAATAGCCGTTTGCCAGTTTCAATGTCGAAAAATATTAGAGGATGAATTTTGCTCTGCATACTTCTCTGCCTTTTACTGAGAGGAAATCTCTTATCTTGTTCACACTTCAATTCGTATCATCGGAGATTTGGTTTAAGAAAGTCATTTTTATGTTGCTGGTGTCTTACAAAGTGGACTTCAATCAGATGAACTGCAAAATGAAGGTAAAATTGTAATTTGCACATTACAGAAAGAGGGCCATTCATCCTTTGGCTGTTAAAAAAAAACTCTTCGAAGCAATGTTTACTTG